TTATTCAAATTATTATCTGAACTCTTCCTTTTCACTGTGATTCTCCGCTTGTTTTTCCAGTCTCAATCGATTTGACTTAATGTTCAACTCGCTCCGCATCCTTGGTCAATTGATTTATCAAGTTTTATTATGAAACTCCAGGTTTATCAGCGACGACCGGTCCGGGTGAACCGTAGACCTCGCGGAGTCCGAAGGCATAATTGTTTTCTATAATCTCTCTTTGTGGACACTTACGTTGACAATTGCACATCAGTAAGATCGGGCGAGCGAGCACAAAAGGAAGAAATTTACAGCCAGGAAAGTCTTTGAATTCTTTGTACATTGGTCTCATGTAAGTTGTTTCAACTCATCTTGGAATAAAGTGATCCCGTGATTATTGAGTTGTTTATAGATGACTGATGGCGCTCACAATGCAGCAATCGATCCATCGATCGATCGAAGGGTAAACAAAAGCCCTGCTCGATCGACTCCCAAATCATCATCAGATCATCGTCGTCTCCCTCGTCATTCGAGGAGATCAAAGTATTGCTCAACAACCTCTATACACCGATTCAAGCATCGCTTCCGTTTTATCCCTACCGTGATTTTTCTCCCTAAGTATCTGAGTGAGTGGAGCATTTATGAAAGGGTTTGAATTCGATCACCACGCTGAATAGAGATGGACAGCTCTTAACAAACTCCACGAAACACCACAAAGGTACGAAAGCATGGATACGCGCAATTGCCGCGCGAGAGAATCTATGAGAGCAGACGAGGTGCATAATGGAACATGGATGATTAGTTTTCACAAAATATCATGGTGTGGCAGCTGCACAAGCTGCATGAGAAACATAGGGCGTGATATGCAGAACATGCTGCGAGTATTCGAGGTTGATTACGAAAATTAATTGGGGGACAGATACGAGTTCGCTTCGGAGGGAAGATCTTCCGAATCACGCGCGGAATTTTTTCGGCGGGAAGCGAGGAAACAAGATTCAATCATCATCTTGACGAGATCCGCCACGAGAAATTTTCGAACTCGATTTCGACTGGAATCGTTTCCGAATCTGACCGGAAGCCCCAGAAAAGGATCGACCAGATGAGATATTTGTATGATTTTCATATCGGTCGATTTTTGCGCCATTGAGGTGGACAACGAACGTGAGGAAAAAAAACTTCAGAACAATCACAATTCGGGTCTGATCATGGATCCCTGATGACTCTGTGCATTTGGGTGTTTCGTTTCGTTGTTACGGGGACAGGCAAATTCAGATCTGGATCCGGACGAGAAGAACATGCCCTGAAACATGCTTGCATGGCTGTTCGAATGATAGATAGCTGTCTGGATGGTTTGACGGAACGCACAAACTAGCCATCGCCAGCGCTCCATTCATCGTTCGCATGCTTCAACAACAAAAATCCTCGAGGGAAGCCCAGATTGGAGCAGTGCCGCTCCGTAGATTAACGACGGCCTACCTTGCTTGCTCATGGACCTAGTTCATCAACATCACTTCAATCATAAATTATCGTCGACGTCCTAGTCAGCGTCACCATCGTAGCGACCATCATAAGAATCATCACGTCCACTATAATCTCTCTTTCTATTCTCGGTTTGCTTGTTGTAATAAATTGTCGTCAACCTTGTGAAGTGAGTCTGCGCATCTTTCTGTTTGTTTGCTTTTACATATTGCGTCATGTGTCTGTTTATTTATCTTCAGCTCACACGGTAGCTGAGACGTAATCTTCATAACATAATTTCTCTTTCGAAGGGTGGGTGTATCATGTGTCGTCGAGCCCATCCATTTCCCTTAGGAATACAGGTTGTACATGTGTATGTATGTATATCGATGGAATCTGTGTGCTGATTTGCGAGCTGCTCCCATTCGCGGGTGGCTTGTTAGAAGCTCCAGAGGAAAGGGTGATTAATGAGCGAAAAAAAGGATAATCGGGAGACGAAATGCAGATAATTTTACAATTATTGAAGAATCACTCAGTTCTGCCAGTGTTGAAGATCCTTCCGGCGGCGAAGCAGTCACAAGAATGTCAAGCCCGAGACCTGATCTTCAGATAAGAAGCCTCGCTCTCGATGAGAACAACAGCTATGCGGCACCCTCACATCGATTTTCGCACTTTTGGAGAATGTTTCGACATGGTTCCCGTCGATGATATTTGTCAGAGCGTTTTGAACGGTTAAGAATTCCTTATCCTTTCTCCTAGTCGAAGAAGAGCGAGGGAGACCATTCACACTCTCGAGCACTCAATCCCGCCGTTGCCGTGCTCAAAGATACACTGGCTTCACTTTACAGCAGGGTTTAGTAGCGACATCGGAAGAGCTGCCCGCTGTACGGCCGGACGAGCGAACGAACGAAAGCCGGACAAGCAAACACGCCGATTGTTTCCAGGGAAACACTTGGTTCAGAGAGTTCAAGAAAAAGCTTAGAGACCGCTTCGTCTAGGACCTTGCCCTCGAATTGTCTCATACATCGTGATCTGTAGAAATCTCGGGTTTTATTTATCGCGGGCTCGCCTCGCATCATATCACATCAACGGGATCGCGAGCATAGATGAAAAAAGGGAAGAGGAGAGAGATCGAAGACTCCGGGATCCCTGAGCCCACCCGATGGGATTAAGGAAGATCTTTCTGCAGTCGCCCTCCTTCGTTCGGAAAATCGTCATTCGTATCCTAGCCGGGACAACCCGAATTTCAGTAATTGTCACTTGTTCTTTCTTGCGCTCTCTTGACGTCGAGTATCCGCGCGCGCTCTTGTCCCAGGCCAGTCGTCGGAGAGAGAAGGGGTCAGCGGAAGCGGAGACATTTTGCACCCAGAGCATAATGGCCATCAGCCATCGAACGGACCAGCGACAGCGGAAACAGACGGCGAATGATGAGTTGTAACGCTCGAAGAGGTGAGAATTGAGCTCGAATAAAATAGAAAGCGATCGGGGACTCCTCGCGGAACGGTGACTGATGGGAATGCCAGGATCGAAGTCTCGCGCCTTCCTCGGAATTCCGACGAATCAAAACGAAGCAGAGAAGCATGTCAACTCCATCCAGTCAGGCGTTCCACGAGCTTGCGAATTCCCTCATTAGGACATCAGCGTCAAATGCCGAATCGCTGACTGGCGGAATCCGCAGCAATAATTCAAGGTAGGGTGACGATAGCTCGTCAGGAGGGAGGAATCATCTTTTATTGAGGAAGAAGACGTCGCTGATGTTGGCGCGAACACACGAAATACTCCAGAACCGTTCCCGATCCTGAGAGTGCTTCCGATTCTTCCCGGGCCGGGACTGCAATGGGTGGCGAGGTTCTCAAGCGTCGGAACTCGTCGTCAGACCCCAATTTTCCCTTGGCCTCCCCGGGAATCTGCGCCCGGGCACCTCGTCCGGCCATGTACATATGTGTGTATGTCTAGTCTTGGCCTTTATCGCCGGCGGCGGCGGCGGCAGCGTTTCAGAGAGCGTCTCAGTCGCTCGCAAGCGTATCGCTGGTGACCAATCAGCTTGCAACGAAAGCCGGCCGGTGGGCAACCAGTCAGTCAGTCAGTCAGTCAGTCAGGTAGTCAGTCTGTCAGTGAGATCGCCAGCAGGCATGCCTGAGGAACGGCGACCGCGACTTCATGAAGGTCTTATTCATGCGAGAAGTCGGGTCCGTCGGCTGGCGGGCGGGCGGGCATCTATCTGGCTCGAAGTAGCTATTTAGAGCTGAGACACGAGCGGCCAGTATGAATCAGAATAACACAGGTAGTAGCGGCCGCACTGGTCATTGCTTCAAACAGGCCATTGGCGAAAGGTCCGAAGGACACGAGCGAGCTGCCTGACTGCTTGGCGGCCAGGCCGGGCGGCTCTCAAAATAGCACGATGGTCAGCCGGCACGATACAAGTCCAGCCGAGCGAGCGCAAGCAAACGAACGAACGAACGAACTCATAATACGCACCGACCGTGCGGCACGTACAAGGCCTTGACCATGGGGTGGATCGTCCCCTTGATCGGTCGGCTCCGATGGGGGTGCCAGCGCCGAGGGGCGAACGCTTGTTCGGACGGTGCGGACTCACGTATGCTCGGGCCATCGTGCAAGCGCATCAACGGGCAGCGTTCGTACACCGTACGATCAGCGGATCCGTCCGTACGAACGAACGAACGAACAAACGGGAGGGCCGTGCATAGCTCGCTCCAGGATCAGTGGGCACACCGCCGACACCCAGAAGCCGGGACTTGCCGTTCGACAATAACTTGGAATGTTTTGCGGTTCTTCCAGATCGGGACGAGTGGGGTTGGTTCTGAGTTTCTTTTTCCGAGCCAGACTTGACACTCAGACCCTGCATTCGACATTCCCCAAAGCGGGGAATTCCCGAGCTTGTTGAGGGAGCCGCATATCTGTTTCTTCCTCCGTTCTGTGAAGATCTTGTGCCGATTTTTCTCGGGCTGGGTTCGAGGCACGATATTCTAAAAAAGCTCTGTCCAATAAACTCCTGACGAGGAGTGTCGCGAATGCATCCGATGTCTCGCGATCCTTTTCCGTGAGATTCAATCGGGAATGATTCAGGGAATCTATGTCTCCCATCGGTTCTACAGATACCGGAGCTCGTCAGGCTTCGGAAGGATCCGGGATCGGATCGGGAAGAGAAGCTGCTCGTCGAGAAGCTTTTCAAAGACCTCGGCAAAGCCCTGGGACTAATAGAGACCTATTTGATGTAGTTGGGAGGGAGGGGGAGCGGCGAGGTAGACGTTGAATAGACGCGTCATCGGGTGAGGTGCGCATGTGGTCTGCGAATCGAATACTCGGGTAGGGTGAGGCTGTCTGGCACTGTTTTTTTTTCTGTTATGGCTCGTGTATGTTTTTTCATGTTATCGGTGGAACCGATATCGACGTGATGACTCAGGTCGGTGCGTTGAATTCTGACCATCGATTTAGTAGTGATGATAATTGCATAAATATATTTCTTCTAACTGATCAATATAAAAATCTCAGTGCATAACTTCCAAAGTCTCATTCTCTCACGGAAAATTATTATCTAGAACCTATGTAACGAGTGTTTTATACGTACAAGTGAAGTTGGTGGTAGCCGAGTTGGCTTGCTGATGTACATGGTTACCACCAAAACCGGCGGCCCCTCCTGGATGTCTATGCCTAGATTGCCACAGCTTGCAAGGCTTACATGAGCAGAAGAGGTCCTGAAGGGTCTTCTTGAACGCCATGCGGAAGTCGCGGTTGAAGTAGGCGTAGATGATCGGGTTCAGCGATGAGTTAATATATCCGATCCAGAAGAGCAGGTCGACCACGATCTCTGGGCACGGACAATCAACGGGTTCGCAGAGTGACGTCGTCACATACCATAAAAAGAACGGTAACCAGCAAAGAATGAACGCGCCCATGATGATACCGAGCGTCTTGGCGGCTTTGTGTTCACGCTTCATTTTCGTAATGTTCCTCTTGGTCGGAGTACTCTGGCCCGACTCGGTATCGTCCGCCCCGTGCGAATTTCGATGTGGCGGAGCGTGGATGACCTGGTGCTCGCCGCCACCCGGACCCATCTGGGTTTTGCAAAGCATCTTCTCCTGCCGCGTGGCTTCCAGGTAGATGCGCCAGTACGTGAACAGCATCACCGAGCACGGAATCCAGAATGAGATCGACGACGATATGATGGCGTAATACTTATTAACTTTGAACACGCACTCGTGCGGGTGCTCGGCCCGCCACTGGCGATGTACTTCCGTCGTGTACCATCCGGTGAAGATCGGAAGGAACGAAATCAGCAGTGAAACCGACCACGCTAGGGCCAGCATGATGAACACTCGACGAGTGGTGATTTTCGTTGGGTACTCGAGGGGTTTAATGATCGCGTAGTAGCGATCAACTGAAATGCAGCACAGGTGCATAATCGACGCTGTCGAGAACAGTACGTCGCACGAATTCCAAAAATCGCACACCAGCTGATTGAACAGCCACGTTCCTGTGATGGTGAACGACGCGTTGAACGTCATCGCGAACAACGCCACTAACGTGTCGGCCAACGCCAGCGACACGATGAAGTAGTTCGTAGTCACTCTGAGTTTGTGATGCCGAATCACCGATGTCACTACTAGAAGGTTTCCGAATATGGCGGTCAGTATGATCGATATGAGCACCACCGACTTGGTGATGGTCTTCGCCAGTGTCTGCCATTCCGGAACCTCTAGATCGGCGGGGCTTCCGCTTGTCCCCACTTCAAGAGACATTCGATCGAGATGTCTGATGTTCAGGCCAGCTTAGTCAACCAACTAGTCAATCGAGTTCAATTATCCAACAAGTTCAGTCTCGGTATTTAGACGACGCTGACGATCACAACAATAACGACGACGTGAACAACTTCGGTTTTTGAGCACCCGAAGCCGTCGCCGATCACCTCGGCTATATCCTCGATTTTTGAAGCTCACTTTTGTACACTCACTCGCGCACACCGTATCAACACCGAACGGTCAACGGGTAGTTCCTCCTCGTCGGCGACGGCAACAACAACGACGACGACGCCGTTGTTTCAATAGCACTTCCAGACGATGGAAGCGACGGCTACTGTGGGCACCGCACGGATCGGAGCACTTCGGGGGCGGGGGACAGGAACAAGGGAAGAGAATTTCAGGCACGGAGAGGTTCTGTGGGGAATAAGGGAATTTATATGGTTTCCGCGGCGCCACGAGATTCTATCACTGCTGCGGGAGCACGGGACGGGGGTCGCGCAGTCAGCTGTTGTATCACTGCAGGTGTTGGTGTATAGATTTATGGCTGATTTTGGCTCGCTAAGTGGCCAAATGGCTGACGATTGGTCTCATGGAAAAGCTGCTGCTGCCCGGCTCGTTGGTCGAATCGTCTGACTGCTGGTCGCTCGCTCGTTTGTTCGTTCGTTCGCTGGCTTCGTCGCCTGGTCGTCGGTCGGCTCTGATTCTATGTATGTTTGGAGGTCGTGAGGTGACGTGAGGCTAGGCGAGGTCGCTCAGATCCCGATCTAACCTCCGGCCTCCCGCCAATGTGACATAATTCTCATCCGAACCAATTCGTCGGTATCCGACAGTGTTGTAATCCAGCGCTAGGTGAAGAAGCGGCAGTTTGACCGGCTGACGGCTGGCGAACAAACAAGCGACAATCGTACGCCCACGACGCCGATCTCGACGACAGTAGCGACGCTCCCGAGTGAGGAAGGTAGTCGAGAGAGAATGGATAGACGGAACAAGAAGAACGTCCGACGACACTCACTGCAGCAATACAGGCTCCGACAACCACGGTGTCGACGATGGCGACGACGACGACAACAACGACGGTGGTGGTGACGGCGGCAACGGCGACAACGTCGATTTCGCTGTCATTCCGTTCGACAAATCAACCAACAAGCTGACTGATGTGTGGGAACGGCAGCTGCAGCAGCTGCTCCGGTCACTGATGTTCGCTTACGGCGAACTTCCGTATTTTCCCGCTACTGCTGCACGACGATGAAGGAAACGACGACGTCGGCGACGACTGCGAAAACGATGTCAACAACGGCTCGGATGAACTATCCCGCGCACTGTTCACAACTGGATTGATGAACAACAACAATAATCCAAGTTCACAACAGCTCGTCGAGCTTCCGAATCGTCTTCTCATACTGTCGTCTACCAGCGAGCGCAGACATCCGACGAGTCACTGATTCGGCGCCTGCTTTACACCGTACGGAACGAGGACAGGTACCACGGAGCCCACCTGGGCCGTACGCACACCGTTGACCAACAACGACCGATGACCGCTCGGGCTTCTCACAGTGGCCTGCAGTCGAGGCCGTTCCACGGCACGCGGCACCCTCCAGCACGACACGGAGCACTGTCGACGATGTAGGTGCTTTCGGCGACGTCGACCGCCTAGGAGCTGGTCACTACGGCAGGCCGATCCGAAGCAGAAAACTTCAGGACCAGCCTCGGCTCCTCTGGTGCTCCTGCAGCTGCTGCTGCTGACGACGACGACTAGAATCCGCGGAGCACTCAACAGGCAACGATGGCTGTCTGGCTGGCTGCCCGTTTCCCGGCGGTTCCGTTCGAACCGTGCAAATACAAGACACCTTCACTGAAGCATGCGCGCATTTAATCCGTCCTGGGGCGCGATCCGTCTGTGACAAAGGCAACGACGGCCAGCGCTCTGAAGAACCCACGAACCCACCAAGCAACTAACCAACCAACCAACGATTGGATGCCAATCCGTTCGCCGTCAAGCGGTGTGTGACCGCGCGAAGGTGAGAGAGTCGAGCGAAATTGAGAGAGGGCAACGAGAGAGGGCAACGCCCGCCTGCCCGCCAAGTGCACTGCCTGCCGGCCTGCTTGTCTGCCGGCTGGCTGGTCGGGTCGTGCGTCGGTCGGTCGGTCCGTCCGTGCGCCGGTCCGTCCGTCCGTCGCTCGGCCGGCCAAACTGTCTGTCTGACTGCGTGCGAGTGAACGTACCCTCCGCACACGGACAGCTGCCCGGCTGCGAGAGAGCGCGCGGGACTAAGGCTCGAACAAGAGAAGGGAGGGCTTCAGTATCGGAGAAGCACCCGCCACCGACCCACCGTCCGAGAACAGCGCGCTGGCTGTCCGGACTAGCAGGATCGGCGGCGAGATTCGGAAACAAGAAAAACGCGACGTGAAGGTCCCGGACCTCCACGCACGCAGCTTGAATTCGTCTCTTTCCACCTCTAGACAGAAACTGCTGCCGGTGCTACCGCTGCTGCTGCTCTGAGAAACTCGTGCCGTGCACTGTGCGCGATGTCAGCGACATCTGACCGCGCGTTTGTGCAAAATTCACTGCTCCCTCGCGCACTCTCTCTCGGAGCCTATCCTACTTTTTCCCGATTTTCCTTCTTCCATCTGCGTTGCTTGGACCCTCCGTGGTTCGGTCGATTTGCTTGACCGACTATTCTTTTCGCGGGCCGGTTGCTGGCCGGCACCTGATCCGATTGGGGGTAGTGGGTCTCCGCCCCTCTTCTGAACTATTGCACTGATTGGCATCGCCCGGCTTGCATCTCCCCAAAGGAGCCTGGATCGCCCCTCACGTGTTCGGTTAAGAATCTCCAGCGGTCAGTGTATGGTGCCGCCTCCGTGGGGAGCTCTTCGCCACGGTATTGATGCATTCATGCCGGTCCCCCTCGACACGAGCTTGATTTTTCTTCCTGGCGTACGTCGCTGTATCTCGAAAATCTCAACTCTGTCTCTCGCGGAGTCGACCGATGACTCTGGACCCTGACGAGAAAATCCTATCACCCTAGTTGAAAGAATCCTCTGGACATGGAGGTCCCCAAGTCTCTCGGACTCACCTCTGGATCTCTGTCTCGCTCGGATTGAGTTCCCTCATGGCTCGACGTGGAGCCCTCTGAGTGTGATCTTATATCTTGCGTTGCTCTCCATTCATTCTCTGATCAGTACTTTCGCTCAATCCCCTCTTCCTGCAAATCCCAAACAGCACTCAAGCATCTCGATGGACCCCGGCCATGCTTCGGCTCCCTCTCTATTTCTCAGCCACTTCGACCAAGGCGAGGGCTCGGCTGTTACCGACAGCATGAGAACAATGAAGGCGAAGTGATTTCTGAGTCTCAACGCAAAACCCGCAATGTCACTCCGAATCCGGAGAGAGGAGGCGCATGGTAAACCTACGGGCTCCGGGACCCCTCAGATTCCAGACAACGCAAATAAGAAGCTTCGGCGCAGCATCATGATTAAAGACCTCCCCACACTTCATTTTGCATTACACGCCTATGGTACACCATATAATAGTTTAAGATCCTTATCCTCTGGACATGAATCTGAAACAGGCTGCGTTCGGGTGAGCTCCCGCTAAAAATAGTCATGACTTACTCGAGCCCCAGCTCGGAAAGTCGCGGAGATTCCGCACAATGCGGAACTCTATGTCTATTGCGTCTCTTCCATGGCTTCGTCGGGGTGAAACGGAAGAAAAATGGCTAGTGAAACCTCGCCAAAATGAGGAGCTTCACGAGTCTCCCGTCGACCTCGCTCGCTTTCGTCTCCGCTCACGGCATTCAGAAGCCCGCGGTTTCTCCCGGATCCCCTCAGTGCAGATGCCGAAGCCTCGGTCAGAAGCCGGAGTTGTTGCTCGTTTTCGTGTTCGGCCCAGAATTTCATTCCTCCCCCTGTCTTAGGTCTCTAAGCGTGTTGAAGGTGCTTCGGATTATTACCCAAGGGTAAGTAAGGAAAAGCCGGCTGCCCGCTTCGAACCGAGGATCTCCCGGACGAGACAATTCCGCCGAGGCCAAGGCAGATCTGTGTGCGATATAGAGATACCTCAGATCACTCGGCTATCCGTAGCTTAATGCAGGCAGCTTGAGTGCGGGAATTTCGAGGACGCGCTGCGCTCATTCTCCATTTCGAATAATCGAGTTCACTTGCGAATCCTCACGTAAACCGCCGATGGCGGATTAAATGCGGGAGATGTCTCTCGAGATATACAATGTATTTGTCCTTGAGATCGAGTAACCGGATACATTTTTGTCTCGGAAAGTCGGAAGACTCGTGCCACCGTAAAAAAGAGGAGAATCGGGAGCATCCTACGGAACCTTCTCCATCGCGAGCGCTAGAGCTGCCGGGATCCAGAATCGGACTCTGAAATCGAGGCTCTCGGAAAGTCCGTTTTCAACGCGTAACCACGGACTGAGTCGGAGCCACAGTCCGAAAATCTGTCAAATGCTGTCATTGCAAAGGCGCGTTTCCTCTTCCATATGACGTCGATGCTGATGAGCGTGATTCGGTTCGGCAACGCCTCCCGACTCCACGTGGATGTTTCCGACTTGTTTCCCTTCGGATGATGCTTGGAAAATTAAGTATCTTGATTTTCCGGTAGTCTTTCGAGTCTCTACTGCGAACCGCCCAGTGACGTGAGAATGGCGCGGTCAGGTGAGGCCGAGCGGAAGCTCGTTCCATTTATATACGTAATGATTGGGTGACATCGGGGCCTCGGTGACGAGATTCCGACACAAAAGTTCGTCGACATTTCCTCAATTTGTATCTGAAGCGGTTGAGGCTGAAGGCACCTAAATGATCGTTCAGTTCCTCCGAGCTGTCAGATTGTTATCTTCATGCCATTGTCGTCGAGTCTGCAGCGCAGCGTTCGCGGGCTTCCCAATTCGTGTTTGGCGACGGCATCCGGTCTCTCAGAGAATTTCCTAAAGTCTTGAAAATACTGCTGGGGAATTTCATGGGCGAAACCCGGTCCATCGGGAAGCTTCGGT